TTGGAAAATATTGATTCATTGAGTTATGCAGACCTTCCAAATGTTGCCACATCTCATTATACAACACATTTTTTAAAAAATCACATTTATAAACATCCCCCCAGTAATAGCCTCACTTGAAAAGTGGTTGGTATCAAGTTCATGGTGGCAGAAAAAAGTTTTCAAAAATTTTAATTATTGCTCGAAAGCTAGAATTTTATCATTGGCAGCAAACACGGTCGGTGGTTTTCCTTTGAAGTGACAGAATCATTTGGATCATTTTTGAGATGATGCCTACCAAAGTAAGTGCCAACGTCTCCATCTCTGTAGTTTGTCATCTGTTCTTTCAAGGAAAAATGGTGTCTGGGACAAGAGCACCTAATTCAGCTTGCAACTCAAACAATCACTGTTCTTCATTATGCCATGAAAGTGCTTTATGTGTACTTTCCATTTCGTCACACAGGATATTAAAGATAAAAGCTACTTCATCTTTGCCCTGGACCACTGCCCTGGTTTCATCACTGGTCTGCCTGCTGCTGCTTTTGCCACTCCCTCCCGGATCTACTCTGTAGTTAGAAATATGTTCTCCGAGTTGCATCATTTACCCCCCACGCCAAGGGCTTCTTGTTGCTTCTAGGATAGACACCATCTTTAATCTGGCCTATAATATCCTGAATTTTCTCATTCTGCCCACTTCCCTAGCCCAATTCCATGGACTTCCCTCATTCTCTTTGCCCAGAAAAGCCTTCCCTAAGCCCAGGCTCAGAGGGGATTTGCAGCCCCAAGAGCTTTCCTCCCTCCTTCATCACACCCATTCCAGTTATTTCTTATTTATCCCTATGGTTATTTAATAATTTGATTCTTAAGACTACGTGGCTCAGCTGTGGAGCCACACTGCTTGGGTTCAAGTCTCCACTTTCCACTTAACTCGCTGAACAACCTGAACAGGTCACCTCTCTCTGCCTCAGTTTCCTAATCTATCACACACACACACACACACACACACACACGTCTCCATCCCTAATCCCTGGCAACCACTAATCTGTTTTCCATCTCTATAATGTTTGTTATTTAGAGAATATTATATAAATGGAATCATACAGTATGTGAGCTTTTCAGAGTGGCTTTTTTTTTTCCACTCAGCATAATGACTTTGCGATCCATTCCAAGTTGCTGTGTTTATCAATGATTTATTGCTGATTAGTATTCTAAGGAATGGATGTACCATAAGTAGGAAATTTTGGTTGTTTCCAGCTTTGGGTTACTACAAAAATAAAGCTGCTATAATTGATATTCACTTTTTTTTTTTTTGGTGAACGTAAGTTTCCATTTCTCTGGGGTAAATGGCCATGAGTGTAAATGCTGGGTCGTAAGGAAAATGAGTGTTTAATTTTTCCCCACCAGCAATGCATGAAGGAGCCAACTTCTCCACATTTTGCCAGCATTTGGAATTGTCACTATTTATTGTTTTACACTGATATTTCATCATGGTTTTCATTTGTGTTTCCCTAATGACTACTGTTGTTGAACACCTTTTCACGAGCTTATTTGCCATCTGTATATCCTCTTTGGTGAAATGTCTCTTCATGTCTTTGGCCCATTTTCTAATTGGATTGTTGGATTTTTTTTTTACTGTTGAAGTTTGAGAATTCTGTAAATTCTAGATATAAACCCTTCCTCAGATATGTGGCTGGCAAATATTTCTTTTCTTTCTATCCACTTAATAGGGTCTTTTTGCACAGTAAAATTTTTT